AATCTTTGAAAAATAAATCATTTAAAATGTAAAAAGAAACAGTAATAGGTCTAATAAAAATAACAGAATATTTCTTAAGTAAATTCATGTAATCAATACAAAATTGAATATGTCTATTAAGAGGAGAAAAGGACTTAAATAAATATGCCCCAATAGAAGACATGTAAATGGCCAATATTTGAAAACATCTTAACATCACTAATTTTTGGTGAGACAAAAAATTAGAACAGCAATGTATCACTTTCTACCTGTTAGGAATAGCTATGATAAAAAGATACAAAATCATAAGTGCTCATGAAGATGGAGAAAAGATACTGTACTCTATGCAACTGTATATTAAAACAGACAGCTTGGTAAATAGCATAAACTAAAACAAAAATACCATTAGTTTTAGCAATTCTCTACTAAGGTATATATGAAAGACATGGAACCAGTATAATGAAGACCTATCCATACTCTCATGTGCATTACACATTACTCAGAATAGTTAGATGTAGAAGCTATGGACATATCTACCTACACATGAATAGACTTGAAATGTGGCATTTAAACACAGTGGGGTTCTACTGAGCCTTGAATAATGATATTCCGTCACTTTTGACAATTTACGTGAACATAGAGAATATCATGTGAAGTGACAAACTCAGAAGGAAGTAAAGACAAATATGTTATCTCATTTATATTTCAATTCTGAAAAACTGAAATGCATATTAGAGAAAGAATAGTAGGGGGAAAGTGGTGGAGTAAGGATAAAGGGGACACATTGGACAAGGGGCACAAAGTTTCCAGTAGATAGGAGGAATGAGTCTACAGCTGTGCTGCACAGCATGGAAATTATAATGCTGAATTTCATATTTCAAATGTCTAAGAGAGGCTCTTAAAAGCTCTAACCATAAAATACATGAGATGAAGTATATGTGAATAATTCTCATTTGAAAATTCCAGAATTTGGGGCCAGCGCTATGGCGCAGCGGGTTAACGCCCTGGCCTGAAGCGCCGGCATCCCATATGGGCACCTGTTTGAGTCCTGGCTGCTCCTCTTCCAATCCAGCTCTCTGCTATGGCCTGGGAAAGCAGTAGAAGATGGCCCAAGACTTTGGGCCCCTGCACCCATGTGGGAAACCTGCATCCATGTGGGAGACCCGGAAGAAGCCCCTGGCTCCTGGCTTCGGATGGGCACAGCTCCAACTGTTGTGGCCATCTGGGGAGTGAGCCATTGGACAGAAGACCTCTCTCTCTCTCTACCTTTCCTCTCTCTCTCATTTTTAAACTTTTATTTAGTAGATATAAATTTCCAAAGTACAGTTTATGGATTGCAATGGCTTTTCCCCCCCCATAACTTCCTACCCACCCACAACCCTCCCATCTCCCGCTCCCTCTCCCATTCCATTCACATCAAGATTCACTTTCGATTATATTTATATACAGAAGATCAATTTAGTATACATTAAGTAAAGATTTCATCAGTTTAACCCCACATGGAACATAAATTGCCAACTACTGTTTCAGCAGTAGTCAAATCATTAATTCACATTGAACTACACATTAAGGACAGAGATCCTACATGGGGAGTAAGTGCACAGTGACTCCTGTTGTTGACTTAACAAATTGACACTCTTGTTTAAGGTGTCAGCAATCTCCGCAGGCTCTAGTGATGAGTTGACAAGGCTATGGAAGCCTTTTGAGTTTGCCGACTTTGATCTTATTTCAACAAGGTCATAGTCAAAGTGGAAGTTCTTTCCTCCCTTCAGAGAAAGGTACCTCCTTCTTTGATGGCCCGTTCTTTTGACTGGGATCTCACTCGGAAAGATCTTTCATTTAGGTTTGTTTTTGTTTTTGTTTGTTTGTTTTGTTTTTTGCCAGAGTGTCTTGGCTTTCCATGTCTAAAATACTCTCATGGGCTCTTCAGCCAGATCCAAATGCCTCAAGGGCTGATTCCAAGTCCAGAGTGCTGTTTAGGACAACTGCCATTCTATGAGTCTGCTGTGTTTCCCACTTCCCATGTTGGATCGTTCTCCCCCTTTTTTGATTCTATCAGTTAGTATTAGCAGACACTAGTCTTGTTTATGTGATCCCTTTGATTCTTAGACCTATCATTACGGTCTGTTGTGACCTGAAATTGATCACTTGGACTAGTGAGGTGGCATTGGTACATGCAACCTTGATGGGATTGTATTGGAATCCCCTGGCACATTTCTAACTCCACCACTTGGGGTAAGTCAGCTTAAGCATGTCCCAAATTGTACATCCCCTCTCTCTCTTATTCCCACTCTTATATTTAACAGAGATCACTTTTCAGTTAACTTTAAACACCTAAGAGTAATTGTGTGTTAATTGCATAGCTCAACCAATGGTATTAGTAACTCTTTCAAATAAATAAAAATAAATCTTAAAAAAAAATTTCAGAATTAACATTCAGCAAATGATTACATCATACCCCACAATTATATACAACTATTTCCCAGTTGAGTTTTTGAAAAAGGAACAGATTATCAGGTTACACAAACCTAACAACAATATAATGTATATAGGATTAAAAACTTTTTAAAACTTTTTTGTATTAATACAAAGAGAAATTTCCATGTATTCCATAGCAGAGTGAGAACTTTTTTAAAGCTGTATCTGAGGGGCTGGCACTATGGTGTAGTGGATGAAGCTGCCACCTGCAGTGCTGGCATCCCATTTGGGTGTCAGTTCCAGTCCTGGCTGCCCACTTCTTATCCAGCTCTCTGCTATGGCCTGGGAAAGCAGTGGAAGGTGGTCCAAGGGTATGGGCCCCTGTACCCATGTGGGAGACCTGGATGAAGCTCCAGTTTCCTGGCTTGGATCAGCTCAGCTCTGGCCATTGCAGCAATTTGGGGAGTGAACCAGTGGATAGAAGACCCCACCCCCCCGTAGAGTTACAGAGAGAGGAAGAGACAAAGAGAGAGCTCTTCCATCCACTGATTCACTTCCCAAATGGTCACAACAGCTGGGGCTGTGCTAGGCTGAAACCAGCAGGCAAGAATTTCTTCTGGGTCTCCCCTGTGGGTGCAGGGGCCCAAGTACTTGGGCCATCTTCTTCTGTTTCTCCAGGTGCATTAGTTGCAAGCTGGACGGGAAGTGGAGCAGCCAAGACTTAAACCTGGGCCCATATGGGATGTCAGCACTGTAGGCTGCTGCTTATCCTGGCAGAGCATAGCAGTTGCCCCAATAAAAATTTAAAAGAAAAAAGTCAAAGATAAAAATAGTTCAAAAACTGAATGATGCAGCCAGCGCTGTGGCTCACTAGGCTAATCCTCCACCTGCGGCGCCAGCACACCGGGTTCTAGTCCCAGTCAGGGTGCCAGATTCTGTCCTGGTTGCCCTTCTTCCAGGCCAGTTCTCTGCTGTGGCCCGGGAAGGCAGTGGAGGATGGCCCAAGTCCTTGGGCCCTCCACCCTCATGGGAGACCAGAAGCACCTGGTTCCTGGCTTCGGATCGGCACGCCAGCCGCAGAGGCTAATAGAGGGTGAACCAATGGTAAAAGGAAGACCTTTCTCTCTGTCCAATCTTTCAAAAAAATAAATAAATAAAAAACTGAATGATGGGGCTGGCGCTGTGTCGTAGCAGGTAAAGTTGTCATCTCGAGTGCTGGCATTCTATATAGGTGCCAATACAAGACCCGACTGCTCCACTTCTGATCTTTGGCCTGTGAAAGCAGTATAAGACGGCCAAGTCCTTGGGCCCTTGCACCTGTGTGGGAGACTCAGAAGAGGCTCCTGGCTCCTGGCTTTGGATAGGTGCAGCTCTAGCAATTAAGGCCATCTGGATATTGAACAAACACATTGATGATCTCTTTCTCTCTCTGCCTCTGCCTATCTGCAACTGTGCCTTTCAAATAAATAAATCTTTTATAAAAAAAAAAAGTTTTTTAAAAAAAGTTATTTGTCTTGCCTATCTGAAGTTGTCCTGAACATTGGACTGTTTCAGAAGAAACTGTTAAGTTCAGTGTTGGTACTGGTGGGCATTTTACTAATCTATTACAGAGCATGCTCTCTAATGCCATTACACTCTCTGCCGCTGCTTCTCTCTGTAACTCTGGCTTTCAAGTAAACAAATAACTCTTTTTTAAAAAATCTGAATGATGATAAGAGTGCTGCCTATACTATCTGGACATTCCAATACTGGACAGAATGGACTTGAAAACAAAAGATATTACTGGAGATAAATAAGACATATTTTGTCTAACAAAAGCATCAACAAATATGGTCAAAATACAATTATAGAAACACATATTTCTAAGGAAACATGTTAAACAGTTAATGAAAAAAGAACAAAGATAAACAGAGTGGACTGGACAATAGCAGTACCTGAACATGACAATATGCCACTTGGAATAAAGAACAGAACAAGTAAAACACACTGAAAAAGCATAGAACAAACACACTCACTTACCTCAATTCATTCAGAAAGAGAATGCACAATTTTTGCAAGTATACATGCAATATTTTTCCTTTTGTTTTTAAAGATTTATTTATTTATTCCAAGTTCTTGTCTCTGGGCAATAAGGAAGTGAGGAAAGAAAATTAGAAAAGGAGGAACAGGAATAAAAGACTTAAAAGGGATTATATACTCAGTAATACAGGAGATTCAGGAGATAAGGAGTATTGCAATTTTTAAGACTTGAGGTTGTCCCTGTAAAGAATGAGGGTGATATGTGCAACAATACCTACTTGAATATTCAAATAGACCTTGGGTAGTGTAGTCTAATCCAGATGTGCACACAGACAAGCTGAAATTTCTCATGAGTTCACAGGTCACCACAAGCTCACTCCCTTTTGCTGGACATGATACTCACCATGCTAGGCTGGAGTACAGTATTATGGCTGCAACATGTGTCAGTTGACATACCTGTGGACACATCACTGGTTTGCAGTACAATAATGTGGGGAAAGAATCCTGGGTAGACAACAAAAGTGCTATTCATCAATAACTTTGTAATTAATGAAGATGGTATTCCAAATAAATATTGCAATAACTTGCTCAACTGTTGCAATTTTAATATTTCTTATCAAAATTTATACACGAGAGCACAGTTCAGATACTTGGTTCCAATCACAATGAGAAACAAAAACTGCAGGTTGCGTATGAAAAAGAATTTCTGAAGAATGGTTAACCACTCTATATCACAATTCATCATGTGAATTGCCTAATACTTGCTAAGGTGTGATTCCAGCAAAGAATTCTAAACACATTACATTTTCAGAGCTTCTCTCTGTAATCTTGTTAGGTTTTGTGGAAGTTTGCCTTACAGTAAAGGCTTTTCCAATTGTAATGCATTCATAAGACTTTTCCCTTGTGCAAGTTCTCAGTTAACAATTGAGAGATGACTCATGGTACAAAACTTTTCTATGTATGAATGTTTTCTCATTTCTGAGTCTCTTCATGTGAACTGACAACTGATTTGTGGCAGAGAAATTTTTTCACATTCATTAAATTGATTATTTTTCTTTATTAATTCTCTGGTGTTGTTGATGTTTAATTTCTGGCTAAGGGTTTTCTCATATTTGCTTCATTTGAAGGACATCAACTTTAGTGAATTCTATATTTATGCAAGCCTGAATTCCAGGGAAATAATTTCCACATGTATTACACTCCTAAGAAACCCCCATTGTGAATGCTCTGATTTATAATGATTGATTTCTGACAAATGGACAAATGACTTTTTGTGACAATAATAAACTTTATAACCTTTCCCCTTTATGGCAATCCCTGTTGTATGGGGTGTGATTTCCAGTAAAAGGCTTAGTCACAATGGTTACAATGACTTTGGAAAAAAGCCCTTCCACATTCATCATATTCATAAAGTCTCTCTCTTGTTTGAATTCCATGATGTGTTACGAGGTATTACTTCTGACAAAAGCCTTTCCCACATTTATAACATTCATAAATCTCCACCTTGTGAGTTCTCTGATGTTGTGTAGTGTGATTTTGGCAAAGAGCTTTCCAACAATCATTACAGTCATAAGGTTTCTCCCTCATGTGAATTCTCTGATTTTTATGAAGTGTTACTTCTGAATAAAAGCTTTTTGAAATGCATTACATTCATAGGATTTCTTCCCATTTAATTAGATGATATGCAATGAGGGTAAAAGACTTTCCAAGTCATTACATTCATATGGTTTCTTCCCTCTGTGAATTTTCAGATGCATTCTGAGTTGTGACTTACGGGCAAAAGCTTTTCCACAGACATTACATTCATAAGGTTTCAACCTTGTGTGAATCCTTTGATGTTTGATGAGGGTTGACTTGCACAGAAAAGCTTTTCCACACTCACTGCACTCATAAGGTTTCTCCCCTGTGTGAATTCTCTGATGTATGATGAGGGTTGACTTTTGGCCAAAGGCTTTGCCACAGTCATTACATTTATAAGGTTTCTCCCCAGTGTGAATTCTCTGGTGTGAGACAAGGTATGATTTATAGCAAAAGGCTTTTCCACAGTCATTGCATGCATAAGGTTTCTCCCCTGTGTGAATTATCTGATGCATTCTGAGTTTTGACTTATTGCAAAATGCTTTTCCACAGTCATTACATTCATAAGGTTTCTCTCCTGTGTGAATACTCTGATGCATTCTGAGTTGTGACTTACGGACAAAAGCTTTTCCACAGTCATTGCATTCATAAGGTTTCTCCCCCGTGTGAATTCTCTGATGTTTGATGAGGGCTGACTTTTGGCCAAAGGCTTTCCCACAGTGATTGCATTCATAAGGTTTCTCCCCTGTGTGAATTCTCTGATGTATGATGAGGGTTGACTTTTGGCCAAAGGCTTTGCCACAGTCATTACATTTATAAGGTTTCTCCCCAGTGTGAATTCTCTGATGTGTTATGAGTTGTGACTTATTGCCAAAGGCTTTTTCACAGTCATTACATATATGAGGTTTCTCCCCTGTGTGAATTCTCTGGTGTGATATGAGGTGTGACTTATTGCCAAAGGCTTTTCCACAGTCATTACATTCATAAGGTTTTTCCCCTGTGTGAATTTTCTGATGTCTTATTAGATATGACTTACGACCAAAGGCTTTTCCACAGTCATTGCATTCATAAGGTTTCTCTCCTGTGTGAATTCTCTGATGTTTGATGAGATCTGACTTATGGCCAAAGGCTTTTCCACAGTCATTACATTCATGAGGTTTCTCCCCTGTGTGAATTCTCTGATGTGCTATGAGGTATGATTTCTGGAAAAAGGCTTTTCCACACTCGCTACACTCATGAGGTTTCTTCCATGTGTGAATTTTCTGATGTGTAATTAGATCTGACTTCTTGTAAGTAGTTTCTCCACATTCATTACACACATTTGGGTTTTCCTGTATGTGAGTACTGTGATGAGTGGTGTGGCAGGATTTAGAACTGAATGATTTTCCACAAAGTTTACATGTGTAGGGTTTTTTCTCTATATGTAGTCTTTGATTTATTACAAGATGTGATTGGTAAATGACAGGTTCAACATACCTAATATATTCATAAAATTTCTCCCTTGTGTTGGTTTGTTGATGCATACTGAGGTTGGAATTTTCATGGTAAGCTTTTTGTATTTGAGTTGTCTCTCCAACAGTGACAGTTGATTTATTACAGATGTCTTCCATATGAACCCTCTCAGATTTACAGAACATCTTTTCTGTGAAGACTTTTCCTTGTACAATAGGTTCAAATGGTTGCTTCACATTATGAATCTTGTGATGCTGACTGAGTGGCTCACAGAACTGGAGACAGTCCCAGGGTACTTTAGTGGCATCAAATGTCTCTCCAGCCTGTAGTTGATCAGGCCCACTGGGGAGACAGCTGTTGTGACATACATTGCATTCCTCAGGTTTTAATCCTGAATAGTTTCCCTTTTTGATAAACAGTTTTGGAATATGGCTTGAACTTAAATTAAGTGTTTTTCTTAATTCAACTCTGTTGGGAGCTGATGTCTTGCTATTTTTCAAAACACCTTGATTCAGATTTTTGTCCTGACTTTCCTGGTTGGTTGTATTCATGTCATCCCTTTTCATGGCAACTGAAATAAAAAGAAAAAAGTCACTGAGTCACATATACTGTTTCTCCTGGCATACTCATATAAAAGGAATGAAGTTACTTTTTATCCAAGTGGCATAATGACCATTTTATGGTTTTCCTCTTTCATACATTAATATATTAAATTGTACCAATAGATTTTCCAATTTCAATCATGAATGTGTTCACTACCTGCATTTTTTTCAAGTATGGCAGAATTGCTTTTATTGTAAGATGTGTTAACTCACTGTGTGGGATGCCTGCATCCCAAAACAGTGTAAGTTTGAGCCCTGGCTATTCTGTTTCCATATAGCTCTCTGCTTATGTAAACTTGGAGGCAGCAGATGAGGGTTAATGTGCTTTGGACCCTGTGACACACCAGAGAAGACTAGCTGGAATTGCAGGCTTTTGGCTTCAGACTAGTTAGATGTAAGTGTTGCAGGCATTTGGCAAGTGAGTTAATAGAGGATTTCTTTCTCTCTTTTTCTCCTCCCACGCTACTCTGCTGTTCATAAACATGAAGCAACTATGTAAGATTTAAAGAAGGGACAAATATTTAGTAGAAATATTCACCTATTGCATAGCAACTAGTTTTTCCCATCTTTTTTTTCCAGTATACTTTTATAAAAAATGTGTGTTTTGTGCTCCTCTGATATTTTAACCATAAATATGGGAGTTTTGCTGGATCATTTACTTGCAGATGGAGAAAAGTGAAATGTGTTTATATTATTGTAAGCAGGACCACATTTAAGGAACAGGATTTGAATCTGTGGTTGCCTCTTGTTCAGTCTTCCTAGGAAAAGCATTTGTGGGATTTTTCAAATGAAAAACTGCTTTTATCTCCATTCTATGAAAGCTCCCTCACATTCTAAGGAAATCTGACATCTTTAGCTTCTCAGAACTACAACAGATACAGAAAAGTCCTAATATACAACCATGGGTGTAACTCCCAACAAGGTTGTGGTCACATTCTTTGAAATGTGTTTTCTAGCTCATTCTGAAACCGCTAGCCCTGGTTATACCCTCTCAATTATTTGTATAAATATTGTTAATTGATAATTTGAGTTTCAGAAGACTTTTGACCAACTGTCTCCTATTTTCACAGAAAACTTAATTTCCTTTGCCTTTTGTATCTTTTTGTTTGTCAATTATACTGAAAAATAAGAGAATTCATACTCCAAATTCCAGTCCTAAAAAAATCTGAGCCACAACAAAAACCCATGAGGTTACTTGACCTTAGGACTCAGAATCTCATGACTTTCTGCTTAAGTCTATTATTACTTATGTTTATGTTCTTACACAAGTTCATGTGTAGTTTCATGATTTTTTCTTCCAAACATTTATTTTATTTATTTGAAAATGAGTTACCAAGAGAGGTAGAGACAGAGAGAGAGAGAAAAATCTTCTACCTTCTAATTCACTCCACAAGTGGCTACAACAACCTGGGCTTTCTGCTTGGTTTCCCTGCCCATTATGTGCACACTGACCTGGAAGGCTCTCATTTAGGTATTCTTCCACCATCCATGGCTCTGCTCCTTGCTCTAACTTGATGATCAAGTCAGGTTTGGTAATGCAGGACCCTATTAATGAAAAAAATTTTAGACTTTGTGAAATCATTATCTTGGGTTATTTAAAGGACTATAGCTTGATCCAGAAGCTATGTAACAAATGTTCCAATTTGAATCCTTTCCTCGATGGTACTTTATTCATGGATTCAAATTCTATACCAGTCCATCACTAAACTTTGTAAAGTGTTCACTGATTTGTCAAAGAGCAAGAAAATGTTACCACTGGGCATCTGCTGGGTGTCACTCACCCAAGGAGAACAGGCTGCTGTAGGTCTCCAGCATCACATCTCTGTACAGGATTTTCTGAGCATTGTTCATTTTCTGCCATTCCTCCCAGGTAAAGTACACAGCTAGATCTTCAAATGCTATCATCACCTGCAATATTATATTTCTGGTCAACATATCAACTCTGTCACAAAATCAACACTAATAGTTGTGTATTTTGTGTATGGATATGAAGGAAGAAGGCAGGACGTGGTTTCATTTTAGATTTGTTGAGTGTTTAAAAAGTTACACAGAAGAATTGAACAGAGTCAAACCTATGGTCTATCAGCTATGAAAAATGCCCAAGCTGGAGGAAAACAGGAGCTTCAGGCCCTTCACAAAGGGCCACATCTGTTAAGGGAAACTGCACAGAAGGCTCAAAGGGGAATAAGATTGACTCTGGAATGAGCAATCTTAAGGAGAAGAATGCAGAAGCATTCAGGGAAAAAGGCAAGAAACTATCAGTGAAATTATGATGGGAATGAACAGAGAATTTCCAGAAAAGCACCATTCACAGTCACTTCCAATATGGCACAGAAAAAAAAAATATTTTAAAAGACATGGCAGGCATTTAGCTTAGTGTTTACTAGACACCTCAGAGTACCTTGCTTGGATTTACAGTGCCAGTTTCAGCTTTGAGCTCCTAGCTAATGCAGACCAGGGAAAGCAGTGGTGATGCCACAATTTTGGAGACCTAGTCTCCATTCTTCACTCCTGGCTTCAGTCTTGCCCTACCTCTGTTTGGTATAGTTATTTAGAGAGTGAATAAGTGTGTGGAAGTTATCTCTTGGTCCATCAATTTCTTTCTATATCAAGCTCATAAATATCTTTAAATAAGAGACAAAATTCAGGTAAGACAAAATATAAAAAAACAGCTTTTGGCTTTTTCTAGTATTACTCTGATACAAATCTGAAGAACTGAAATAACATTATACAAAATTAAAATGAAAACAATGGAATTATTTGCCCAAAAACAAAACTTGGGAAAATCTGCAGTACAATCTGCATTTTTGACTCACTTAGAAAAATGCTTAGAGGTTTAAGAACCTAGACTAGGGGGCCAGTGCTGTGGTGTAGCGGATTAACACCGTAGCCTGAAGTGCCAGCATCCCATATGAGTGCCAGTTCAAGATCTGCTGCTCCACTTCGGATCCAGCTCTCCGCTATGGCCTAGGAAAGAAGTAGAAGATGGCCCAAGTCCTTAGGCCCCTGCGCCCACATGGGAGTCATGGAAGAAGCTCCTGGCTCCTGGCTTCAGATCAGCACAGTTCTGGCAGTGGAGGCCAATTGGGGAGTGAACCATCAAATGGAAGACCTCTCTCTCTCTCTCCCTCCCTCCCTCTCTCTCTCTGACTCTCCTCTCTCTGTGTAACTCTGACTTTCAAATAAATCTTTAAAAAAAAGAACCTAGAGTAAGCACAAGCATTGTGGTGCAGCAGGTTAAGCCTCAACCTGCAATGCTGATATCCCATATTAACAGACGATTTGAGTCCTGGCTACTCCACTTCCAATAGAGTTACCTGATAATGTGCACGGGTGTATTTAAAAGATTTGTTAAGGGACTTAAAGGGAGATTTAGACCCCAATACAATAGTACTGGGGGACTTCAATACTCCACTCTCAGAAATAGACAGATCAACAGGACAGAAGGTCAACAAGGAGACAGTAGATTTAAATGACACTATAGCCCAAAGGGATCTAACAGATATCTACACAACTTTTCATCCTACACGTAAAGCATTTACATTCTTCTCAGCAGTACATGGAACCTTCTCTAGGATTGACCACATACTAGGCCATAAAGCAAGTCTCAGCAAATTCAAAAGAATTAGAATCATACCATGCAGCTTCTCAGACCATAAAGGAATTAAGTTCGAAATTAGCAACCCAGGAATCCCTAGAGCATATGCAAACTCATGGAGATTGAACAACATGCTCCTGAATGAACAATGGGTCATAGAAGAAATTAAAAGAGAAATCAAAAATTTTCTGGACGTAAATAAGAATGACAGCACAACATATCAAAACTTATGGGATACAGCAAAAGCAGTGTTAAGAGGAAAGTTTACATCAATAGGTGCCTACATCAAGAAATTGGAAAGGCACCAAATAGATGAGCTTTCAATTCACCTCAAGGATCTAGAAAACCTACAGCAAACCAGACCCAAATCTAGTAGAAGAGAAATAATTAAAATCAGAGAAGAAATCAACAGGATTGAATCCAAAAAACACATTACAAAAAATCAACCAAACGAGGAGCTGGTTTTTTGAAAAAATAAACAAAATCGACACCCTATTGGCCCAACTAATTAAAAAACAGAAGAGAAAAGACCCAAATCAATAAAATCAGAGATGAAAAAGGAAATGTAACAACAGACACCACAGAAATAAAAAGAATCATCAGAAATTACTACAAGGACTTGTATGCCAGCAAACAGGAAACTTTATCAAAAAAGAATTGATTCCTGGACACACGCAACCTACCTAGATTGAACCAGGAAGATATAGAAAACCTACACAGACCCATAACTGAGACAGAAATTTAAACAGTAATAAAGACCCTCCCAACAAAGAAAAGCCCAGGACCAGATGGATTCACTGCTGAATTCTACCAGACAATTAAAGAAGAACTAACTCCAATTCTTCTCAAACTATTCAGAACAATTGAAAAAGAGGGAAACCTCCCAAATTCTTTCTATGAAGCCAGCTTCACCTTAATTCCTAAGCCAGAGAAAGATGCAGCATTGAAAGAGAATTACAGACCAATATCCCTGATGAACATAGATGCAAAAACCCTCAATAAAATTCTGGCCAATAGAAGGGAACAACACATCAGAAAGATCATCCACCCAGACCAAGTGGGATTTATCCCTGGTATGCAGGGATGGTTCAATGTTCAAAAACAATCCATGTGATACACCACACTAACAGACTGCAGAAGAAAAACCATATGATTATCTCAATAGACACCGAGAAAGCATTTGATAAAATACAACACCCGTTCATGATGAAAACTCTAAGCAAACTGGGTATGGAAAGAACATTCCTCAATACAATCAAAGCAATTTATGAAAAACCCACGGCCAACATCCTATTGAATGGGGAAAAGTTGGAAGCATTTCCACTGAGGTCTGGCACCAGACAGGGAGGCCCACTCTCGCCACTGCTATTCAATATAGTTCTGGAAGTTCTAGCCAGAGCTATTAGGCAAGAAAAAGAAATGAAAGGGATACAAGTTGGGAAGGAAGAACTCAAACTATCCCTCTTTGCAGATGATATGATTCTTTATTTAGGGGAACCAAAGAACTCTACTAAGAGACTATTGGAACTCATAGAAGAGTCCGGCAAAGCGGCAGGATATAAAATCAATGTACAAAAATCAACAGCCTTTCTATACACAGGCAATGCCACAACTGAGGAAGAACTTCTAACATCAATCCCATTCACAATAGCTACAAAAACAATCAAATGCCTTGGAATAAACTGAACCAAGCACGTTAAAGATCTCTACGATGAGAATTACAAAATCTTAAAGAAAGAAATAGAAGAGGATACCAAAAAATGGAAAAATCTTCCATGCTCATGGATTGGAAGAATCAATATCATCAAAATGTCCATTCTCCCAGAAGTAATTTATACATTCAATGCAATACCAATCAAGATACCGAAGACCTTCTTCTCAGATCTGAAAAAATGATCCTGAAATTCATATGGAGACACAAGAGACCTCAAACAGCTAAAGAATCTTGTACAACAAAAACAAAGCTGGAGGCATCACAATACCAGATTTCAGGACACACTACAGGGCAGTTGTTATCAAAACAGCATGGTACTGGTACAGAAACAGATGGATAGACCAATGGAACAGAATTGAAACACCAGAAATCAACCCAAACATCTACAGCCAACTTACATTTGATCAAGGATCCAAAAGCAATCCCTGGAGTAAGGACTTACTTCCCAGTAAGTTCTGGGAAAATTGGATTTCCACATGCAGAATCATGAAGCAAGACCCTTACCTTTCACCTTACACAAAAATTCACTCAACATGGATTAAAGACTTAAATCTTCGACCTGACACCATCAAATTATTAGAGAGCATTGGAAAAACCCTGTAAGATATATAGGTACTGGCAAAGACTTCCTGGAAAAGACCCAAGAAGCACAGGCAGTCAAAGCCAAAATTAACATTTGGGATTGCATCAAATTGAGAAGTTTCTGTACTTCAAAAGATACAGACAGGAAAGTGAAGAGGCAACCCACAGAATGGGAAAAAATATTTGCAAACTACGCCACAGATAAAGGCTTGATAACCAGAATCTACAAAGAAATCAAGAAACTCCACAACATCAAAACAAACAACCCACTTAAGAGACGGGCCAAGGACCTCAATAGACATTTTTCAAAAAAGGAAATCCAAATGGCCAACAGACACATGACAAAATGTTCAAGATCACTAGCAATCAGGGAAATGCAAATCAAAACCACAATGAGGTTTCACCTCACCCCGGTTAGAATGGCTCACATGCAGAAATCTACCAACAATAGATGCTGGCGAGGATGTGGGGAAAAAGGGACACTAACCCTCTGTTGGTGGGAATGCAAACTGGTTAAGCCACTATGGAAGTCAGTCTGGAGATTCCTCAGAAATCTGAAGATAACCCTACCATACAACCAAGCCATCCCACTCCTTGGAATTTCCCCAAAGGACGTTAAATTGGCAAACAAACAAGCTGTCTGCACCTTAATGTTTATTGCAGCTCAATTCACAATAGCTAAGACCTGGAACCAACCTAAATGCCCATCAACGGTAGACTGGATAAAGAAATTATGGGACATGTACTCTATAGAATACTATACAGCAGTCAAAAACAATGAAATCCGGTCATTTGCAACAAGATGGAGGAATCTGGAAAACATTATGCTGAGTGAAATAAGCCAGTCCCAAAGGAACAAATATCATATGTTCTCCCTGATTGGCGAAAACTAACTGAACACCAAAGGGGAAACCTGTTGAAGTGAAATGGACACTATGAGAAACAGTGACTTGATCAGCTCTTGTCCTGACTGTTTATGTACATGTAATACTTTATCCATTTTAGTATTTTTTT